GTAGTCCGCAGGTTAAGGTAGTCCGCAGGGTAAGGACGTCCGCAGGTTAAGGTAGTCCGCAGGGTAAGGACGTCCGCAGGTTAAGGTAGTCCGCAGGGTAAAGACGTCCGCAGGGTAAGGTAGTCTGCAGGTTAAGGTAGTCCGTAGGGTAAGGACGTCCGCAGGGTAAGGTAGTCCGCAGGTTAAGGTAGTCCGCAGGGTAAGGACGTCCGCAGGTTAAGGTAGTCCGTAGGGTAAGGACGTCCGCAGGGTAAGGTAGTCTTCAGGTTAAGGTAGTCTGCAGGGTAAGGACGTCCGCAGGTTAAGGTAGTCTGCAGGGCAAGGACGTCCACAGGGTAAGGACGTCCGCAGGTTAAGGTAGTCTGCAGGGTAAGGATGTCCGCAGGTTAAGGTAGTCTGCAGGGTAAGGATGTCCGCAGGGTAAGGACATCCACAGGTTAAGGTAGTCTGCAGGGTAAGGACGTCCGCAGGTTAAGTTAGTCTGCAGGTTAAGGTAGTCTGCAGGGTAAGGACGTCCACAGGTTAAGGTAGTCTGCAGGTTAAGGTAGTCTGCAGGGTAAGGACGTCCGATTTACGGAGAACTTGTACTTAAGAACGGACTGCCTTAAACCCTATTGTATTAAAAAAATTCCTGTAAAACACAATGGTTTGTACTAACGAATGCCCGTCACTCTGTGATGCTCATAAAAACATAGCGCCACCACGGTAAGTATTTTATTATCACTGCATTATTATTATTGTTAATTTGTATGGTATTTTTATTTTTCTGACATATCTACCGAGAAAATTTCTGTTATCACAAGAAAAAATTTGTTAAATTACAGATTTTACAGGTATTTAGGAAGGTGCTGTGGGGGTGCTATGGTCATTTTAGGAGTGGCTAGAGCCCCCCGAGCTTCTCCCTGGCCCCACTGCTGCACTGGGGAGGGGGGCATTCTGAGCCAGTTAAAAAAATGTAGCCAGATTTAGGAGATCAGACATCTGAATACAGAAGAGTCAGAGATAACCAGATCTTCTCAGTTTCTGCCCTCTGCTCTCCCATGGATGAAATGCACACTTTATTTGAAAGATCACTCACCCGCATATTTCACAGACCTCATTAAGGCGAGTGGAATAAAGCAAGTATCGGCGTATCATCTGCGAGCCAGGCCTGATGTCCTCGCCGATCGACCGTGCACATTTCAATAATCAATAATCGCTTCTTTTTCCATGCATAAATCGACTTGCCAGATCTACATTTGGGCCCGATCCAGGCTTTCCCAACCGTTCTCTCCCAGACAAAGCGAGCGGCCGGGGAGGTGGGCCGCCTGTCCATTTAGCAGACGGGTCTGTCAGCATCCACGTAGCTGCAAGGCACCTGAGGCCCCTGTCAGGGGGGACCTGTCACCTCCCCCTACACCGTCCCAGTGTTGTGACGTCCCTACGGGGGTGACAGCCTGCATCTGAGGCTGGCCAAGTGGGGTCAGTTGTTTTTAAACACACAAAGCCAGCGGACGCTTTTATAACCTTGCAAAAAATGCACAGGGCTTCACAGGTAGATGGTCTCACCCTGCAGCTGGAATCTCCATTTGCCTGGCAAGGGTCTGCCGCGTGAACAGGAGGCGATGCACCTCCTCCAGGAGGAGGAGGGGAGGGGCACGCTTTTCACGCGATCGCCCCAGGAAAGCGCAAGCAAGTCTGAGCATCGGGGAGAATGGGGGGGCAGCAAAATCTCACACGACCAGAGCGTGAGTGTGAGA